CAGAGAAATCAGGCACTAGGGAAATGTCTGGAGATCTACAAAGATGACACCAGCTAACAATCTCAGCAATAGAGGAGAGGCTACCTTAAATGCCATCCCCTGATGATGACATTGATGACTGACTTATAAGCCTGCAACTTTTTTTGTTCTGTCCTATTCTGAGGTTTATATCCTAGAGTTTTTTTCTGATCAATAATAGGTTTTCTGTTATGTGATATTTTGATTGTGTTCTGACAAATAAAGCTTGCTTGGAGTCAGAGGTCGAAACTAGCTACTAGCTGACCATAGAGGTTTGGAGGACTATAGAGAGAGGAGACAGGAAGTAGAAAAACAGGGCAGAGACAGGATCTCAGCCTTTCTGGACAGAGGAACAGAAGAGTTAGGAAGCAACTGGTGGCTGCTCCTGGATCTCTGATCTTTCAGGTTCTAACCCCAATATTTGACTCCCAATTTTTATTGATAAGATTAGTTAGATTAATGCTTCAGTGCTCAGTAAATGAATGCCATTGATTTGTTCCCAGATACTTTCAGTGCTTTTCTTATTTGAATCACAATACAAGTTCCTGACTTTCCTTTGGTTTACAACAAAATCTGCACAGAGCATTTGACACTAGACACTTTGTCCTACTTCTGATTTCAAACTTCTTTGGACAAGGTGGAGCCACTAGGGTGTTTTGTTTGGAGCTTCAGGAAAGAAGCATAACAGCTTACATTTGGTGTTGGCTTCCCAGACTAAAACTTCCTGCAGAAAATCCTGCCACCCAAGTGATCTTGCCTCTACACAAAGGGCCAGCACAGCAGTGTGTCCAGAGAAGTGCCTGTTTGTCCCTCCTGTATCTCTATGTACACTCAAGCCTCTTCTGGTCATTACTAATGTAGCAGTTTGGCTGGAATTTATCATGGGCTCCTCAGGCTCTGCTCCTTTACAGAAATAATCACAAACCATAAAGCATATGAGAAATGAAACAGAGTGTGTGACACTCATATAAGGAAAGTTGTGATTTAAGAGACAGTGGATATAATTATGTGCTGCTGGAGTTCTTGCCCTTGCTTATACAAGGGCACAGTGAACATAAAGTTTCTGTGTCCCACTGAGGCAATGTAAAGTCTTATTATTCCTTGGAGAGATGTCAAAAATCAAGCCTGATGACCACCTCTCCTGAGATTGTACTTTAAAATGGTCATATATAGATCTGCAGACACACACA